GGTTCGAGCTTGAAATAACATCATAACTAGCACGATGACCGTCTAGCCGCCAGAAAATAATGAATAGACGAAAAAACGCTCCGAAAAAACTCCAGGAAATATTTGCAGACCAAAAACAAATGTTGAAATATCCACGAATAAACGGATAACGGATTTAAAACAGCATCTTAGTTAAAGGGGGAAAAGTACATTTTAGTCGTCACATTTAGTCAATGCAAGTAAACATTGGTCGGTGGGGAGTTTTCTGATGTATGCACGATAAATTTTCGAACCCTATTTCGTAACAGATGCATTTTAAATTGACACGTGCACACTGCGCAACCATATCCTTAACCATATACAACAATACAAGTGATTTGTATTTTTCATTTTCCTAATTTTAGCAAGCATTCAACGCTCGGAACATATGTATACATTTTTCACATATTAGTATTAGATGGCAGAATAGGCTCGTGTAAACACGGACTTTAATGACCAGCGAATTCATTGATTAAGATGACGTTAGTTGATCAAAATGCATGTTTAAGGAAGTAATTTTAATTTATTAACGACGTTTCGAAGTAACAACCTTCATTTTAAAGTTATAGGAAGCATTGAATACAGAAATTTTGGCGAAAATAAGTACATGATTCACGTCATCTGAAAAACTGCTCGACCTTGAAAATTTAAATCAATGACTTTTCACATATGTATACATTTTACAAGCTGCAGTGACATAATAAATAATCAAAAAGTACGATAAAGATCGAGAAAACGCTCCATCTAATAATTCGTAACTTTGAAGCAAAGTATCGTAGAAGATATTGGAGAGGCCTTAAATGTAGCTCTTACATCAAGAAGCATTTAGATGGAATTCAAGAAAAAGGTTTGAGGGCTCCGAGCCAGTATATATCAAGGCGTGATATAACTGCTGAGAAATAGGCGGATGCGAGGCTAAATTGATGAATATGCAAATCATGAAATCTTTTCGCTAACCAGGAACTGCATTTTGCATTTAACTTAAATGATGCACATCATAGACGGGAAATCCCGAGCTTCTTTGAATATAGAATAAAACATGTGACCATGCAAGTTGAGCTCATGAAGCTCATATTTGTTGCCTGCCTCTTTCGGTGTCACCACTCAGAGTAATAAGCGAGATTTTGTTCAAATAACGATGCAATTTTCGCCCTGGTGTGAATCATACTGACAGAGTTTAGCTCAGCAGCAGGGCATATCAGTAGTTAGTGCGCTTTCTGTTCATGTAGTGGGTTATAAAGTGTGTCAAACTTAGGACTACCTCTGTTCGTGTAGTGGGTTATAAAGTGTGTCAAACTTAGGACTACCTCTGCTCGTGTTAGTGGGTTATAAAGTGTGTCAAACTTAGGACTACCTCTGTTCGTGTAGTGGGTTATAAAGTGTGTCAAACTTAGGACTACCTCTGTTCGTGTAGTAGGTTATAAAGTGTGTCAAACTTAGGACAATTTGACCAAATTTTTCAGCGACTGAGGACGGCAGGCCGGGACGTGCGGAGACAGCGCCTCTGTGACGTCAAAGAGGTGCTTGGTAGGCAATGGAAGTGTCACTGCTGTAATTGCTGTTTAAATTAATTACGCCGTCTTGCTCAGACTTGTTGCACTTAATATCTCAACAAGCAGGCTACAGCTTACCAAAAAAAGCGATAATACAGAACTGAAAATAACACAAGGAAACTTACATTTCTCAGTTGAAGTTGAAGTTACGCGTGGTATTATGGTGATTCGTCAAAAAAATGATCAAACAATATCTATTAAATAATGTCTATTGAGGCTCGCCAGTAGGTTTGGTGGCAACACAGCAGAACTAACAGAAAATGTGAAAAATTAAAGAAGTCTACTGAAAATTTCTGAACTTGGGTTCATCCTATCATAAAAATTTGCTAAACCTGGAAATTTTGTAGCTGATCCATCCGCCGTGGCTGGATAAAATCTTGCTTAATCGGGTCAATGCTATACTATTAGGATTTTTTGCTCGAACATCATTGATCCCTGCCACACTTATCATGATAAAGCTTAAACATGTATAATCTTTTTTATGATAAATATGTCGTTCATCAATAACTACGCCACCAACTTGATAAATTCAATGGGGCGTTCATCAAATAGTAAACTAATGTGTTGAGAAATCGAATGTCACAAACATCACAAACAGCCGTTAGAGTAATCAAATCAATTTACGAAACATTGAGACATCAAAAGAACTGAACTTGCATCGAGAAGCTCGTGATGAGTATATCATTATTTCTCAATGCTGCCAGCAAGGCTAATTATCGAGATAATAAGATAATAAATCAACGTCAGTTATCTCTGATATTTTGACCTGCCACTAGCAGCAGCATTCAACGACGTGCTGTGTTGAATCCTCGAAGCATGTCATTTTGAACGGTGTTTTTTAAAATTCATCGGATGTACAAAGATCAATTTTATCTAACGCAATTTAAATTCAATCACCTTACTTTAGTTTGCAGACATCGAGCTCCATTACAAGTAAGTAAACATTCTGAAAAGGATTTTCTGCTCATTTGCATTAAAAAATCTTTGGAATTTGATGTTCAAGAAACAGGAGAAATTTATCTTTTTTAAAGAGACTGACGCTAAGTTGTAGGATCAGGTAGCAAGCTTGAAGTTGCGAGACACACGATCGAGAGCTGCGTTCGATGAAGCAACACAATTAACTTCGTTTTTAATATTCTGATGGAGTGACTCAAGAAGTGAATCACGCTGGACTTAACAGTCACCGCAATTATTGGACGCGCAATAAAAAATCCTGTTTCAAAATAAGTAACGTCACGCTGGGTAAAGTGACTAGTTTTTCAATCGATATCGTGGTAAGGCCAATAAAAAAACGCGTTTTGACGGACTACCAAATTGGTTAAGAATACAAGAACTCATACATGGCGCAACCACAAGACAGGCAAGCCGGTTATTCCCTGAATAATGTGTGATTCACACCCAATATTATATTGCTTCTCAAACATACCGGAGTTCATACGTAAAATCTCTAGCATTAACTTAACAATTATCACAATGATGTCAAGCACGTAACACGCAAATCCAGACAAGGAAAATGCCTCAAGGTTCAAAAATTCTCGTCCCTGTCTCGTTATCAAGGTCGAAAGCTAGCCTGCAGTCATTATTTCAACCAGCATGGCGAGCTATTCACTTCAAAGACAATTTAGAGCCACGCTTATTCGTTCAGCATTGCGACACGGTCGAGCCGGGATTCTTCTTAAATTTCTACTCATTATTATTTGCAATTAACCATCCTCGCCTGAAGGGATAAATAAATAAATCCCAAAGTCTGGAAGCCTTTAATTTTCCCGGTTTCTTATCGCGAAGCCATGAATAGCGAGAACCTCGACGAAAATAATTATTTGTACCGAGCTTTGAGAGCGCAACCAACACGTAAACATAGCAATAACATTCATGAATACAGGAATGAAGTAAAAATAATAGAAAAAAAAGAAATATTACGAGTACAATAACAGGAACGTTAGCAGTACAAGAGATCGTAAAACAATAGGCATTATTTACAATAAAATAATTGGCAGCGAATTGTGCACATACTCGGAATAAATCATGTTAAATTCGATACTACTAATGGCACAACAAAAATAAAAATATAACTTCGCACGCTCCAGCAATTGCGAAAACTTTTAATTTCTATTTCCACTCTTATATTCAATAACCAAACAACAATTTTATGTTCAGCAATACACACTATTAAAGACTGAAGCTCAAGTCGCCAGGCGTGGATAATTACCAGCTAACTCTATAATGCCATTTAGTTCACACACAACAGTCTTTGTGCGAGTCAACAGCTGGAATTACATAGACAAAGCGCCAATATGTCATTATTAAGACTCAGAGGGATAATGGCGATTTCTTGCATGATCTTTTTTATGATTTTGTCAATTCATGGTTCGCTTTTTACAGCTATAGTCTGATACTGTAGAACCGACAAATTCCCAGACGCGAATAAGATGCTCATTAATTATCAGCTGTGCATAGCATAAAGCCAATAAAACGCTCATTATCAGCTGTGCATAGCATAAAGCCAATAAAACGCTCATTATCAGCTNTAGCATATCACGAATAAGACGCTCGTTATCAGCTGTGCATAGCATAAAGCACCACAAGTAAACAGCACATACAGGCAGTGAGGCATGTGTGTACAGTGTATAGCCTCACCAGCCGCAACCATTCCAGGGCGGCGAGCACAACACGGGCTCTCACTTTACGACGCGGGCCTATTTATTTAATGACATTTTAGGTCGGCTCCCAGGGTAACGGTCTGCTCCTATAGCTCCTGTGCTGCTCATTGGGCCTCTGCTTCTTTGGACGCACAGACTACAGCCATGGAATATGAAAAGTGAAAGTTTCCTATCGTTTCTCATATCTAATGAAAGTTGACCGCGAAAAATAGGATACGGCTTAATTTCTAGGTATGAGAGAAAATTCGTTAGTTAGTATAGAGAGTGTACTAGATTATTAAAGTTGAATTGTGGCTTAAGTTTAAAACAGCATAATTTTAGAAGTAATAGAGTGCTGTAATTTTATCATTAGAGAAGCGATTGAATTTTAGAGCGCTAATTTGCATTAAGTCTGGATACATAATTGGCTATTTAAAAGCTTGAAATGTTCGAACTATAAAATAAGACACTCCATTCTCCTAGAAGATAACCTAGCTTCATCTCACATTCACTTGGAAAGACAGAACTGCAACAGCGGCAGGTAATGTATCTCGCTTCAAAATTGAAAAAAAAATCAAAATCTCGATTGAAAATTAAAGCAGATGCAGAGCCTACCATGCAAGCTCGAGTCGATCTTAGGTCTGTAATATTGCACCGTGGATTTTAAGCCGATGAATGCATCATTTGTATGAATTCAACAAGACTTATTCAATTACGAGAAGCTCTTCAGCACCGGCCGGGAAGTTGCGACACGCACTCACGAGAACCTGTACCTAACTTAAGTACTCACCTCTTCTAGGAACTTGAGTTGCGGGACTGGCTCCAGGAACATCGTCTCGCAGAAGTCTTTAAATAATAAATAACCTGAAACAAAAAAAATTCAATTTAATAGTGAAAGATTACCAGTTTTTAACTAATAATCAAATTGAAACATGAACAAATAGCCGTTTCGTTAGCACCACACAAGTAAACTATTAAAACACACGAAAATTCTTTTCTCTTATATCAAGCTAATAGATTTTAAATGAGGTTAATATTGCATATAGTCTATAATGAATAAGAATAGAGAAATATAAATTATGACAAATTTATGTAATGAATATGATTCACACTTGTGATTTAATGATTCACACTTGTGATTTTTTTTTCTTTGCATATCGATCAGATCGTTTCACATTAGTAATCGCCTGTACAGATGGAGAAATTTACTCGTTTCGAATTCCATAAGAATCATACCGATGACTCTATATATGTAATATAAATTATTGTTTCGAGTTTCAAACCCGATTTATTCGTTCATTACATAGATATATTGACAAATAATATTGTTCACGCAGATTTAGAATTGGTTGCATGCAAACATTATTGCAATAATGTACCTAGAGGAAAGACAATGCCTAAAAATGCTAATACTAGTCTCGAAAGTCCCTCCAATGCAGGTCTACACAGGCCACTGTCTAATCCAAGGTAGTTTTATAATGGACAATGAACGTAAAAAGATTTTAAACCATTTTTTATTACTTTCTTTTTCGTGAGTTGCCTGGCATGCATCAAGCCTCAGCGAAATGGCCTAATGAGCTCATATAAGTTGTCGTTTTTTTGTCGAAATTGTCTCGTATAAAGCTGCAGAAATCCCGAAATTGGATTTTGTGACAAATTCTTGCCAGAAATTGAGGTCTTCTACTTTCTGCAGTAGTATATTTTTTCGGCGAAATCTGTAAGATGAATTTCTGAAAGAAACAAGGGTATTAAATATTTATTAATTTTCTCGACAAATAAGCAAATATTTGTTACCGTCGTTTCGCTTTTAGATCGTGAATACTGAAATTGAAAAGAAATAAATGAAAACAATAAAATTGAGATAATCTAGCACCTGCCTCTGAATTTAAATCTAGCTGAGAGGGTTGAAAGCGAAACTTTAGTTAATACTAGCATAATATTGGAGGGTATACTACAGTAAATAATTAATTTGTACTTTGGTGCTTGAATTGCAAACAATTAGATTTTTTGCAACATCATGAGGTGAGAGAAATTGATTTATCACCAAGCCGCTCAATGTCTTACCAGCACATTTTATTTTTATTTGGCTATGGACAACTACGGATAAAAAATTGGGAGGTTCTAAATTGGGTTCATTCTTTTGCAGGACCACATGTGTGTTTTATTTGACACGACAAGATATTAAAATATAGGTATGTTTAACTAAAACTTTGAAAACCAAGCATCAATTCGAGAAAAATATAATGGCACAATACTAATACAAGAGATTTAGATAATTTCGCTCATGCAATCAAAGCAAATGGAATAAGCTGAAATTGTTTCAGACTGACACTATAGGGAATGCAAGCTTGTTTGTGTGTAAACATAAAGAACGCTTTTGACATTTGTTTAAAAATTACGAAAATTCTCAAGAATTGAACAAGCCTGATGTAGTTTTTATTTTGTAATATTTCAACTGCACACTAACTCATCTGTTTTATATATACAACCCGGATCTTGTTTAAACCTCACATTTCTCTAATTTCAGCAGCTCTGAAGAGAGGCAAGATAAAATTTGCATTGTCATGGTCGTGCTAATAACAGCTGATTACCAGTAATCGGAATTTCAGGGGCAGCAGTTCGCAATGTCAAGTTATCAAGACGTGAATTTGAATTGGCTCATTTTGTAAGTCAGCGAAAGAAAACCGAATTTTTACTCGTATCCCTCTGCGTAAAGAGGATACTATTTTGACAAGCAAATTACCCGGAAAACACGTATTCCAAGCAGGACGTGTTAATGATTAATGAGAAAGAAGCTCAACGCCGATGTGCTCCAACCCAACAGGTATGAACGTGTACTCGTGTAGCTGCTCGCTGCGCTTTAGAGATACCGGGCCGCTGTCAACTACGTCAACGTGGCTTGAGATAAATGCGTAAACTTTAAAATAATATAAATATCGTGAAACACACATAATCGAACCATATAATTTATACTTAATGATACAAGTCTCAATTGATCGCAACATTTCAAGCACAGCATACTTGGTGCCTACACAAAATTCGCAATAAATTTACGCAGTATACAGGGTGGGGCAGAACCGATTGAGCAGTCTTGAGGCGAAATAAAAGAGTAATGGAGTTAAATAAAGAAGAAAGTTTATTTTCCTCGAAGTTAGCATAACATACCATTTAAAACACTTATGTTTTGAAAACAATATCAGGAAGATGGTGGCCGTTAGATGCAATACACATGAAAAATTGAATTCGCCATCATCTTTTGGAAAACTTTTTCGCAACAAAATTTTCCATTGCTACTCGGAAAATTTATATCAGGAGCAGTCCAATACATGCTCAGTTACTTCACTGTAGCATGAAAAATTTGTGAACGCCCTACAACTGTCCGTCAGTTTTACTCGTACCTACCGCATTCACGCTAAATTAAACGTGAATCAAAATCTTACAAGCCAAGCACGCAGAACGAAATCATGGTTTCATCTGGATCTCGAATGAACCGCAACCCAATAACTCCTTTCTACCTTGAATAAATCACAGTGGCAAATTTCTTCGTGTACTGTGCTGTTTGGGAAAACAGTTAGCGGTGGCGTACAAGAGATTTACCTGCAATGTGCCATCGATGATTCAGATCCTATAAATCATCGATGATTCATCGATGACTGCCACCTATACTCGGCACTCTCTCGATTTATTGGAGTTTTATTGTCGATTTTTGGCAGATCTGGCCACCCACCGTTACGCCACCTGCAATCTACCATCGCCACCTATAATCATCGATGCGCCACCCTTAATTTTTACTTGGGTTAGATTCAGAAGCGAGTCGTAAACTCAATTTAGTTGCTAAAAACGAATTTATTTGTTATTTGCCCCTTGATTGAGCCCGCTTCCAGTAAAATATTGCCAGAACATTGCCAGCTCTGCTTATTTTACGGACGCCTCATCATAGCAGGACTATAACGTCTGTCTTTACGATCGCCGAAACATAGGGAAAAAATTATGTCGTGCATGTGTGGGGCCTATCAATGCCATAACAATTGCATAAAAATATATTATATATCATTTGACCTTGTTGTGAGATTTACACCTGATATCTAAATGATTTAGAGTTTCCGTAATGAAGTCTGTGGCTTTCCAACAGACGTAGCTACATGGCGATAATGCGCTGGAGGGCGGTCGCAGCGCTGCTGTATAGCGTAATTAAATACCGTAATTAGTCTAAAAATAAACTTCGCTAATAATGCATTTTGAAATCAACCTAAAATATGTTTAGATAAGTTCATTAATCGAATAACGTCGAATATCTTTATATTACAGATACAAATTATTAGTGGTTTAGAATCTGTTGACTATAATAATATTAGGTTTGAACTATTGGTTCGATTTTCTTCTAATTTCTATTCCCTGACTAAGAGTTAAATAAAAATGCTCCGGATAATCCTTGCATATGGAATCATTCTCTTGATACGATGTTAATGCATTATGCTATTTATGGTAATCTAATTAAGCGTGAACAATTTTTTCTCTGACTCACGGATTAGCTGCAGATTATTTATGACGCAAAATTAAATGAAAATTGTTCACCAAAGTTATGCACTGCCTCTTCATCGAGTATACGCACCTGGGCCTATACTTTCAAAAAAAGTTAAGAGATCGTAAGTTCATCAGCCAATCATTGACCGCCTTTCAAGCCAAATCCACCAATCATTGAGAAGAAAATAGAGCGTAAGTACTTACGTTCACTTAGCGAGTTTTGAAAGTATGGCCCCCGAATTGCATCTGAAGTGCAGGGCCATGAGCTAGAGATTCAATTATACACGAATAAACTTTTACATGTTTTGGAAATCTTGCGACTGTTCATGCTTCCTTTCTGCGTGTATTACGTTCATAGATATTTTTTTTATCCTGATATTCATGTATTGAGGCGAATGCCTAACGTCAATAATTATAGACATCAGAAGTCACAATTACTCGCATAGATTATTTTGCTTTAAATAAATTTGGAACTCTCACAGTTCGTTCAATTTTTTAAGTTTCAGAATTTCTAATCAAGTTCATAAGAATACAAGAATGTAATTATTAATAAAGTTCCAGGGAAGCTTCAGCCATCAATTTGATTTCCAGAAACTTACAAGTTGGTTCTCACAAAAACATTGTTTATTTACCGCCTAACGGCACGAGAAAAGTTAAAAACTTATTTTGCGATTTCAAAGAGAATGCAAAACCTTGGTGCGGGCATTTCATGCTGGAACAAATTTGTGCGATTGTGATTGATTTTGCAAACCATCGAAAAATTCGCTCGAAATTCTCGCATTGTGTGAAGAAGGCCTCGACTCTCCCAGACTCGCAGCGAGGCCAACGAGTAAAACAAATGTAGAGGCCGACCGTGGTCAAAATATTTGTTAAGTGATAAACTACGTGAATTTATAGGCTAAATAAAAAATTTTCATATTTTTTGTTCTCGGTGCTGTACGAAAATAATTTTGACAATCATGGTTGCAGATATCTAAGATGCAAAATATCTTCAAAATAAAAATATTTTTAATGGGAAGTTTCCGTTCACAGTTGGACTGCCAAGAAAGATATGGCTTTGCTTGAACTTAAAAAATTATTTTAAACAAAATTCTTTCTCTCACATTGACGCGACTAATCCTTTTTTCCTCAGCCGTTACCTGGAGAGTTGGATAACTTGCAAAATACTCATAGAATTGTTTTCAATATATTTATAGTATTCAGTAATCACCGAATTTAAGAAACAACAACATTTAGCATTAAGGTGTACAACGTATATTTAATTACAGTAAAACTTTTGAGACTTCAAACATAACAACATCACGATGCGCATGCAACTTTGCTAAACATTCGAAT